TAGATTCAATAGAATTCCAATTCATATCTTTGAAAAAGGGTTGTCATCAATTACTAAAAAAGGGGAGATTGAAAGCTTTAGTTTGGTTTTGGTGAATTAATGAAACCCTAAGTGCTAACATAGTTTATCAAAGTGTTCATGAGATTGGTAGCACATTCCAAGTGGCGAATCAAATGAAGATCATAACATGATGACGGCGATGCCATGGTGATGATTAAGTGCTTGGACTTGAAAAGAAGAAAGAGAAAAACAAAAGGCTCAAGGCAAAGGTATAAGTGGTAGGAGCCATTTTGTTTCGGTGATCAAGACACTTAGCGAGTGTGATCACATTTATGTTCGATAGCCGTACTATTAAGTGGTGTGAACCTCGTATTGAAATACGATTATCAAAGTGCCACTAGATGCTATAACTCATTGCATATGCATTTAGGATCTACTAGAGTGCTAACACCCTTGAAAATATTTATGAAAATATGCTAACACATGTGCACAAGGTGATACACTTGGTGGTTGGCATATTTGAGCAAGGGTAAGAAACTTCACCGGCGGTGATAACACATGTGCACGTAGAGTGAGGACAGTCCGACGGTGCCACCGACGCCCTATACAGAAAAGACAGGGTTTCACCGAGTGCACCGGAGGCTGGTCTCAACTGGACCGGAGCGTCCGATCAGTGGAAGCAGTGAAGATGCTGGCGTTGGTCTTTGACTAGACGCTGGGTCACTTCGTGACCGAATGCTGGATGGGTGTGTCCGGTCCCGCTGACGTGGCAGCGCACAGAGGAGACAGTGTGTGACCGGACGATGGGTGAGTCCGGTCGCCTCTGGAACCTTACTGCAAGTGACCAAACGCTAGGGTCCTGCGTTGGGTCATGATCGAACTGACGCATCCGGTCGTGAGTGGAACCTTACTGGAAACGACCAGATGCCGGTGTTGGTGGGTCCGGTCACTTCGAGCAGCATGTCCGGTCATCACTTGACCATTGGGATCGGACGCTCAGTATTTGAAGAGAGGGATGACGTGACTGCCATCTGTTGATCGAACGCGGGCAGGGTGCGTTCGGTCGATCTGACCGGAGCGTCCGGTCACCCTGAGTGCCCAGTGAAAGGGTACAACGGCTCTATTTCATGGGGGCTTCTATTTAAGCCCCATGGTCGGCTCTAGCTCACTCTCTTGGCCATTTGCTTTGACATAGCAACCTAGTGAGCTTAGCCAAAGCCCTCCCACTCATCTCCATCATAGATTCAACATCTTTGTGAGATTGGGAGTGAATCCAAGTACATTGCTTGAGTGTTTGCATCTAGATGCACTTGGTGTTTGTGTTTTGCTGCGGGATTCACTTGTTAGTCTTGGTGGTTGCCGCCACCTAGACGGCTTGGAGCAACGAGGATCATCGAGCGGAGGTTGGTGATTGTCTCTGGCTCCGATCGTGGTGATTGTGAGGGGTTCTTGACCTTTCTCCGGCAGAGAGCCAAAAGGTACTCTAGTGAATTGCTCGTGGCTTGTGCGATCCTCATCTTGTGTTGGTTGTGTGGCACCCTATTGAGGGTTTGGCGTGTAATGCCAATTAGCGCATGAACCTCTAAGTGAGTGAATCACCACAACGAGGACTAGCTTACCGGCAAGCAAGTGAACCTCGGTAAAAAAATCATTGTGCCATCATTTGATTTCGATGTGATTGGTCTTCATTGGTACTCATCCTTGTGATTGATTGGTTCACTCCTCGACACGGCGGTATAACTATCTTGCTCTCTCTCTTTATAGTACCGTAAACTAATTGTCAAGCTCTTTAGTGTCGCTAGTTGTGAGAGCTTGTTAGTTTGGTTAGTGTGGCTCTTTAGTTAGTATTTGAGAGCGCATTAACTTAGTGTAGTGACATAGCTATTGTGTGGATATAAACCATATAAACTAGAATTATGGTAGGTGGCTTGCAATTTTAGTAGGCTAGCGTAACACTTGCTTCGTCTCATAATTATCTAACCGGTTTGCTAAGTGTTGTTGTAGAAAATTTTAATAGGCTATTCACCCCCTCTAGTCATTAGGACCTTTGAAGTGGTATCGGAGCCGAGGTCACCGTGATTTGAGGCTTAACAACTTTCTGTGTAAAAATAGCTCAAATCAACAACACCAAGAAGCCACCCCAATTTGATGGCTCTAACTATCGCTATTGGAAGGCTAAGATGATAACTTATATCAAGTCAATCAATAGGAAGGTTTATAAGGTGGTAGAGACCAAAATTAAGATTGATGATGAAGAGGCTCCTACCGTCGCCGAAAAAATGCTACTTCAAAATAATGACATTGCTCTTAGTGCCATCCATGATGCTTTGGATGAGAGAACATTTGAGTAAATTAAGAACATTGAGAGGGCTCATGAGGCATGGAAGAAATTGGAGGAATCATTTAAGGGCACTCAAGCCGTGAAGGGTGCAAAGGCATACATTTTCAAAGAGAAAGTTTGTAAGCTTCAAGATGAAGAATGATAAGAGTGTGCCAGAGATATTCTACAGGCTTCAAGTGCTTGTCAATGATCTCAAAGCACTTGGAGAAGAAGTGAAGGAGAAGGACTTCTCCCATAAGTTCTTGAGATGCTTACCTTCAAGATTTAGCACATTGGTCACTATTCTAGTGAGGAGTGGTTTGGACACCATGACACCTAACCAAGTGTTGGGAGATATAATGACGGATGATACATATAGAGATGATGATGAGAAGGAAGAAAAGAAGGAGAAGAAAGATGAGAAGAAGAAGAGTGTGGCATTCAATGGCACATCATCCAAGGGCAAGGCAAAGCAAGAAACATCAAGTGAAGATGATAGTTCATGGAATGATGATGAGAAGATAGCTCTCTTTATCAAGAGATTTAGCAAGTCATGATGAAGAAAGGCTACCGTGCTAGAAGGAAGAAATCTTCATCCAAGAACAAGGAAGATTCAAGAAGGTGCTTCAATTATGGAAGCAAAGATTATCTTATTGCTCAATGTCCATACAATAGTGACAAAGATGATGACAAGAAGAACAAGAAAAAGGACAAGAAGGAAAAGAAAGAGAAGAAGGACAAGATGACCTTCAAGAAGAAGAAGGGTGGTTCATATGTAGTCACTTGGGATAGTGATGCTTCCTCAAGTGATCATGATGATAGTGATGATGACAAGACCATCAAGAAGAAGGCACTTGCAAGCATTGCTATTAATGAGAAGTCTTGTCTCTTCGACACTCCATCATGCTTCATGGCTAAGGCCACTAAGGTACAAATTTGTGATGATAGAAGTGATGAGGAACATGATAATGAAAATGAAAACGAAAGTGATAGTGATGATGAACCTACTAAGGATGAACTATTTAACTTGTAATATAATTGATAAATCATTATCCATGTGTTCATGAGATAGGTAGCAAAATAAAGGGGGAGATTGAAAGCTCTAGTTTGATTTTGATGAATTGATGAAATCCTAAGTGCTAACCTAGTTTATCAAAGTGTTCATGAGATAGATACCACATTCCAAGTGGCGAAGCAAATGAAGATCATAACATGATGACGGTGATGCCATGGTGATGATCAAGCGCTTGGACTTGAAAAGAAAAAAGAGAAAAACAAAAGGTTCAAGGCAAAGGTATAAGTGGTAGGAGCTATTTTGTTTCGGTGATCAAGACACTTAGCGAGCGTGATCACATTTAGGTTCGATAGCCGTACTATTAAGAGGGTGAAACTCGTATCGAAATACGGTTATCAAAGTGCCACCAGATACTCTAACTCATTGCATATGCATTTATGATCTAGTGGAGTGCTAACACCCTTAAAAATATTTATGAAAATATGCTAACGCATGTGCACAAGGTGATACACTTGGTGATTGGCATATTTGAGAAGGGTAAGAAACTTCACCGGCGCCCTGTACAGAAAAGACAGGGTTTCACCGAGTGCACCGGACGCTGGTCTCAACTGGACCGGAGTGTCCGGTTAGTGGAAGCAGTGAAGACGCTGGCGTCGATCTTCGACCAGACGCTGGGTCACTTCGTGACCGGATGCTGGATGGGTACGTCCGGTTCCGCTGACGTGACATCGCACATAGAAGACAGTGTGTGACCGGACGCTGAGTGAGTCCGATCGAACACGACCGGACGCATTCGGTCACCTCTGTAACCTTACTGGACATGTCCAATTTCAGTGCAAGTAGTTAACTTCTGTGTTTTCCTCTATCAGTGGCCTTTTATGATGGAAATAGCGGTGAAAGCAAATCTGTGGTCCGGATCTTGAATCTTGATCTAGTTTTGACACAGCCACGCAGGGCATGCTTGATGCACGTGAAGAGATCACTGGCTGCTGGTGCTGAGTCACACAGGCAAGTGAAAAAACAAAAGGCCGGCAGTGCTGATGAATTGAAGATCCCTAGGCACCATCTTATTATTACTGCAACTGGTAGTGGCTGGCAGGTGAGTGGTGACTACTCGTGTCACGTGCTTGTCACATGAGTTTGGAAGCCATGTAGTTTTGGCTACTAATTAGCCAACAGCTTAATTTTTAGGTCAAGTTGGACTAATGGAGGATCAAATTTCTGGGGATTGCTTACATGACAGTATCTTGGTCTTATGGTCTTGATCTTGACAGTCAAGAAAGGGACAATTTTTTGTCCAGGAAAAGTGCACCAGTATTATGCTCCTATGATCTGATTTGGTAGATGATCAGATTCAATGTTTTCTTCCTTTATTTTTTTAGAAAATAGACACAGTAGTTAGGATCACCTGTATCTGAATATAGGACAGTAATGGGATTGTCTAGTCTGCATTGAAGGGAAACTAAGAAATGCAAGCTATTTAATTGCGCCGAAGTAATGTTGATGAACCTTCATAAAAATTGGTTAAAAGCAGGTGGCCTTGTTAATAAGTAGGACAATTCTACAACAAACAAAAATAGCCCTTAAATGCTGGTATAAGGTAACTTGTTAAAAGAGGTGCAAAGAGCATGAAACTATAAACATTACATCGAGGAATATAGTACACTAGTCCATACCAAATGTTCCCAAGTAGAGGTACTTGTTCCCAAAGACTCGCCCAATCCGTGCCTCCCACCTCCCATTGTGGTGATGCCTGGACCATCAAAACAATAAGAATATTAAAATTTCATTTTGTTTAATAACCTATAAACTGAACGAATTCAAGACATGCATCTCTAAAACAATGAGGAGAGATAATAAGTGATGCACTGGTTTCAAAACTAAAGTGATGCATGCAGTACAGAGCTGGCATTTTTCTAGGTGTACAACGTTGATGAGTGATGAGTCATGCATGCATGACATGGCAGGCATGTGACGTGTCATATGCCCAGGTGATGCATGGCAGTCAGGTTACAGGTGGACACCTCATCTCAACATGCCGTGTCGGGTTCATAAACCCAGGGACCCTCGGGGACGGGCTTCGACGCCCGGGCTCGGCCCAGAAGAATAGCCTGTAGCTCATGGGCCGGCCCAAAAAATCTAGAAAACAACAGGCCGGGGGGACAGACCGGTCGCCAACCAGAGGGTCCACCGAAAGAACGAACGCCCGCTCGACAACTTCTTCGGCCCACCTCTCCGACCGGAACGCTCGCCTCGGGCGCCGGCCGCCTCCGGGCGGACTCCCTGATCGGAAGGCCTGGCCCAAAACGCTGCTTCCTACTTCGACCCCGCGTCTCTGACCGGAGGCTCGTAGGAAGCCTGCTTACCGCTCTTCTCCAACTGGCACGGCCAGTACCGACTGGAGCCATCCGACTGGAGATTCCCACTCGGAAGGGACCAGGGGCGAACGGAGAAAGTAGCGTACAAAGTCAAAACACGGTACCGGGACCATACCATGTACGCCTGCGGGAACAGTGCTCCACAACCGACCTGACACAAGCAGTATGGGAGGTTCCGACATTTGTGTCTATAGTATTGTAGGCACCGACATTTATGTCTATAGTATTATAGGCGCCGTTGGGGCTCCCATACGGCAAAAAGGCCCCCCACATGCCTCTGGGCATCGATAGTGGGCACCAGGATTCACCATACCTGGTACACGTGGTGGGGCTCCTCATATACTAACAACATTTCACAGGTACCGACGTCCACCCTTCCTGAAGAAGCCAACACAACCCCCCATGTGCACCTGACATTCTACAGCGACATCAACAGTGTTATGCGTGCCAACCATCATCATTACCCTCACTCGGCGTGGGCAACAAGACTTAGAAGCATCCGTACTCTCTCCCTCTCACCTGTAAAGCCATCCCCTTTATCTATAAAAGGGGATGCACTCCCTCCAACAAAGGAGATTGATTTTCCAGAGGTCCACTTCTTCAAACTCAGGCTCACTAGATCGATAGCTGAGAAACCCCTCAAGCACACGTTTGAACACCTAGCTCATAGCAGAGTTCCGGTCGCCCTCGGCCCTTCCGGTCGGACCCGACCAGGCCTCTCGTACACCCCTCCTTTCTCCTTCTTGTTTGTACCCCACTACAGACTTCGAGCACCTGGTCTCAGGAATAAAGTCACCAACAGACCCACACTGGACGTAGGGCACGTTGCCCGAACTAGTCTAAATCCTGTGTCATTGAGTGCTAGGCCACCTCCGATCACAACGTACAGCAAAACTATAAATATTCACTAGTTGGTCACTTTCTGTACCGACAGTTGGCGCCGTCCGTGGGGAAGACGTTGTACGTTCAACACTTTTTGGTCATCGGATGGCCCATTTTTCCGCCACCCCCACCGCGGGGGGCTCGGGCGACGCAATCCGCTTCGGCTCACTAGAGTATCCAGCACTCTCGCCTACGGGCATGCGGGTTCCACTCGTTTTCGAGCCATCCCAGGCCTTCCTCTTTGGAAGCCTGGACTTCGTCGCCGACCGGCTCGGCGTACTCCACCTCCGTGAGGAGACCCGTGACCCGGCACCCGTCGGAGAGGCGTTCTCCATCGACTCTGGGATGCGCGACCTCAACGGCGCGGCATCTGCGCTTCATTCCGAGCCAACTCTCTGCTCAAACCCCACTGTAAGTAATACGCGTACCGTTATTTGCCCTTTATTTACTACCTCCCACCGATCGTCCAAAGGGGCTGCACCACCCACGCCACAAACACCGTATGTTCGGTTCCCCTACGGCCACACGTCCTCCGCAGACGCTTACGCTCGGGGGCTCCGAAGAACACCGGCACAATCCCCCCTCATGTCCGAATTCGTAGGAATGGTAGGCTCCACCCCTGTCGTTTCCCATGAACTCCCGGATAACGAAGGCGAGAGCGATGGTTCCAGCATCAGTGATGTGGCGTCTCGCCACCATCCGTCCTAGGAATGCGCTATGGTGGGTGGTCCAGCACAACCACCGGTGGTTGCCGAGTCCGCGCAAACTCACACCCCTCTGGACACACGCGCGGGGGCCCTCGCGTCTGACTCAAGCACACACCGAGGAACTATGACAACGATGGCAGAGCCAGCCACCCCCTACGCCGGCACGATCAGTGCGGCACGTTGCGCCCCATGCGCATGGCCCGGTGGGCGGCTCCCAAGGACGCGCTCGACAGGTCCAGCGCGACATTTTGAACGAGGGAAATGACGTCCCGCAATTCGCCCGAGCCGGCCAGAACATCGCTGCCACGACAATGCTCCTGCGCGGTGTTCCCGAGCCCGTCGACCCCCAGGAACGAGCCATCTACCGGAACCTCCGGGTTCTAGTAGAGGTCACCGCCGTCCAGCAGGCGAAAAGCTCTGCGTCGCGACTCCGACCCACGCCCTCTCTCCCCACCGGGGGGACAGTGACGCGCCAACCGGATCGCTCCGTGCGCTCGCCGCCATAGCCATCAGGCTCAGCTCGGGGTGCGGCAGCCGCACCGCGGTCCGACCGGCGCTTGCTCCACACCGACCGCCGGCACACAAGCGGCTCGACCCGCACCAGGACGCTTGTAGCGTCATCAGCGACCGGCAACGGGCCCGATGCGGCAACGACGACCGCCACACGGCGGCGGGAGACACAGATCCCGGCCAAACCATTGAGGGAAGCGGTGAAACATGACCTAGGCACGGTCGCCGACCGGACGATCGGAGCCCCAGCCCTGAGGGTCTGGGTCCACGGGCCTTCAGCCGGCGCATCCAAAGGGCACCGTTCCCACAGCGTTTCTGACCTCCCTCCAACATCACCAAATACACCGGGGACTCAAACCCAGGCATTTGGCTCGAAGACTTTCGGCTCACCTGTCAAGCTAAAGGAGTGGACGATGACTATTTCATCATCCAATACCTTCCCATTTGCGTGGGGGAACATGTCCGGGCATGGCTTGAATTCCTTCCACACGACAGCATTCGCGACTGGGTGGACCTCAAGAGGGTCTTCGTTGGGAATTTCCAGGGGACGTACGTCTGCCTGGGGAACTCCTGGGACCTCAAGAGCTGTCAGCAGGAGCCCAGCGAGTCCCTGTGGGATTACATATGCAGGTTCTCTCAACGATGCAACTCCCTCCCTGATGTCGTTGACGCAGACGTCATCAGCGCATTCCTTTCTGAGACTAACTGCGAGTCCCTAATCCACAAGCTTGGCTGCCTAAAACCCCGCACCACCCGTGATCTGCTCGACATTGCCACCAACCACACCTTGAGCGAGGAGGCAGTCGAAGCGGTCTTCAACGGAGGCCGGGACCAAGGCAAGCCCAAGCACGCGGATTCGGACGAAGGCCCCTCCACTCAGAGGGGCAAGAAGAACAAGAAGGACCGACGCCGGTCAGACAATGCCACGCTGGTCGCCGCGGCTGATCACTTCAACAAACTCATGGATGGTCCATGCCCCAACCACGCCTACCCTGTCAAACACCTCTACAAGGAGTGCGAGCTCCTCAAATGCTTCCTCCGATAGGCCGGCGGGTCAAAGGAGGGAGACGGCAAGGACCCGACAGCCAAGAGAGGAGGCACGGCAGGCAAGGACGAAGACGGTTTCCCCGAGCCCGAGGAGTGCATCATGATCTTCGGAGGATTCAACGCCATTTGAACTAAGCGCCAGCATAAGGTACGCTACAGGGAGGCGTGCGCCGCCGAGACGGCCGTCCCCTCCTTCCTTAGCTGGTCGGCGTCCCCGATCACCTTTGATCAGAGGGACCATCCCTCCTACGTCGCGAGACCAGGACGCTACCCGCTCGTCGTCGACCCCATCATCCTCAAGAAGCGCCTCACCAAGGTGCTGATGGATGGGGGAGCGGCCTCAACATCCTATACATCGACACCCTCGATCCCATGTGCATCTCCCGGTCGGAGCTCCGCCCGGCGAGCTCCCCCTTCCACGGGGTGATCCTAGGAGCACAGGCATACCTGCTCGGACAGATCGATCTGCCCGTCATGTTCGGCAGCCGAGCCAACTTCTGCTCGGAGGTCCTCACCTTTGAGGTGGTGGACTTTCCAGGGTCCTACCACGCCATCTTAGGACGGCCATGCTACACAAGGTTCATGGCCATTCCCAACTACACCTACCTCAAGCTAAAGATGCCAGGGCCGAACGGCGTCATCACTGTAAGTAGCGCCTTCTCGCACGCCTTGGCGTGCGACCGCGAGCACTACGAGCTCGCCACCGCGGTCGTCAACTCATCCGAGCTCCCGCGGCTCAGGGAGTCATCAACCCCAGTAGTCCCAGACTGCAGCAAACTGGCCTCCTCGATGGCCTTCCGCCCGCTCGAGGAAACCAAGGCAATGGGTGTCAACCCCGCTGATCCAGCCAAAATGGTACGAATCGGAACCCATCTCCCGGTCAAATAGGAATGCGAGCTCGTCGACTTCCTGCGCGACAATCGCGATGTCGTCGTATGGCAGCCCTCTGACATGCCGGGGATACCACGGGAGGTCGCCGAGCATGCACTATGCCTTATCTCGGGCTCAAAGCCCACCAAGCAACGCCTACGTCGTTTCGACGACGAGAGACGCATGGGCCATAGGCGAAGAGATCGCCAAGCTCCTGACAGCTGGATTCATCAGGGAGGTTTTCCACTCCGACTGGCTCGCTAATCCCGTTCTCATCAGAAAAAAGATGGAGAAGTGGAGAATGTGCGTCGATTATACTGGACTCAATAAAGCGTGCCCAAAGGATCACTTTCCTTTAC